CCCATTCGCTTCTTGGAAAATGGCCTCCTTATATTCAGTGATGAAAAACCCCGAAAATGTTGAATAATAGAGAGGTGCTGAGATAATCGGGAGAAAATAAGCAATTGGATTGCTTCTGCGTGCAAGTTTATTCTAGCTGATTTATTCTCGAATTGAGTCGCAGATCCGAGAGAATGCATAATTTTTCTCCTATTATTATTCACAATATTTCGTGGTGGTAGCATTTGTGCACCCCAAAAAGCAGGACCCTCTTTGTCTTACAAAAACAGGCGGAAATCCCTACGGGTCTGTGGAAGACCCCAACGGAGTACCAGTTCGGGTACGCGAAATTTTCACAGCGGATGAAGTAAGCCATTCAATCAAATGCAACCTGGCACTAGAGGTGAATTTAAAAATCGGGATTGTTACTCAGAAAGATCAAGACAAAGTTACAACTTTTGGAAATTGGCTCGAGTAATCGACAAATAAATTTACTCCAGGAAGGTTCTCTACATTTATATAAATTTTGGAGATTCTGGACCACGGGCATAGAATGTTCAAAAGTTTCAGTAATAAAAAAAATCCTGAAATATACGTAAAAGATTTCCGCAACACTCGCGTGGAGAAATTGTTCAGGACTGCGGATATCTGGAGTTTCGAGTTTTTCGAAATGCGTTTGAAGCAGATTTCGAGCAGAGAAAATTATCTACAAAGAATTGTCAAGTAAATTAGAATGTATTATGCAAGGTAGATTTCATACATGCTACAGATACAGGTTCTTTGATTTACGGTAACTCATGTTAGTCATGACTCATGATTTATGATCAGTGCATCTATATGCACATTAAAAAAGTCTTCAGGTCATTTGAATTAAGTAATTCTGCTACTTGAAATATAATGCACACATCTTCTCCCTATAAGATTGTTTCTTCCTTCATATTTTTTCAAGAGTGGATTTGTGTAGGAGACCACAAAGATTTTCAGGGTAGTAAACATATTTCGTCGTAGGGAAAAATTATTCTTTGGAGGCAAACTACTTTAAAGAAGGCTGTTGAGGCTAGAAACAAACTGATGTCTCGTGAGCAGTGAACGCTAAAAAGATATTCAGTGCAAGAAACATATTTCGTCATAGAGAATAATGACGCTCAAGAGGAGCTGCGTGTGCTAAACTTGAAAAGTCTGCTGAGACAAGAAACAAATTGGTGGCTCGAAGAATATCTTATGGACGCATTCATCATGTGAGGAGTTCCTCAGCATTAATTGTTGTGAAACTTTGTGTGCAAAGAAATTCCAACTGTAATAGGTCGTTTCATTATCCGAGGAAATATTTTAGCTTCGCGAGGTCATGGCCCAATTTTACCTCTCACGGGAATCGCAATTCATTTTCACGGATCAGCGGTTTTTCTTTTGAAGGCGTCGAATGTTGCGTCAAAAAAACTGAAAACCCGCTGGGCCGCTGAGGAGCGCGAAAACAATTAAGCTGGAAGGGCAATTAACATGCTTGACTCATAACCTGGACAGCTCTTCCGTCAAGGCCTGTGTATAATTTCGTAATTCTTACCACAAAGTCCCGCCAAGAAAACGCGGTTGGAGATAAATCCACGATTATGCATTCGCGAGACGCTACGCTTCTCCGATTCAACGAGTCGAGTTGAGCATTCTCACTTCGTGTCAGCCATGACGGCAGTCGTAAATCAGAGATGTAAGTGAATCGGTGTTTGTTTTCATTCGCTTTGCCGATGGGGAAATAATCAAATAAAGCTCCGTCTGCCGAGAGCTGCTGACCGTAGTTTCTTCTAATCAACTGCGAAAATTGCAGTGGGGCCCCGAGATACGGACGTAACTGTTGATATGACCTTGTTCATATATGTCAGATCGTCTTCATGTCGGATCGCCTTTTCCCGTAGATTTAAATGAGAATTCATTCAATTGGTTCTCCAGCTTATAAAAAATAGAAATAAGTCGTTCAAAAAATTGAATAAAAATTGCTTCTCAACTTCAAGATAAAGAAAATCACTGTGCAGAAAAAACCCACGCAAAATTTGATATTTTGGCATCAAACGGGGCACAAGAAGCGAAAAACTAGAACGAGTCTTGCTTTACTCTAAACATGGAAAACACTCGAAAAAAGAAGCCCGTTTTGATTATGGATTCGAGTCAAGTTTTAATAAAAACAATTCTGAATATAAATCGATATAATCGAGATGTCCAAATTATGAAAAAAAAGTTTTCCATTTTTCTACAAATTTCGGAAACGCGTTCGTATCTCGAGACATTTTCCGAAGTGGGGAGGTAATTTTGAGTTTTTGTCGAATCGTCCGTATGTCGGGGTCCCACTTTTCAAGTGCACGAGTGAAATTCAAGCGAAATTTTATAATGGCTCGTTATTTTTCGCGGCAGCAGAAATTTAAGACCGAACAAACAAATGAGCATTCAATCCTTTGGCATTGGTTCGAACTTCCGCAAAAATCTTGCCGAATGCGATCAATTTTAATTTCAAATCACCGAATATCCGTTAATCCAAGTGCTTCCGAAATTCCTCAAAAGTTTTCAAAAGCTTGCCTAGTAAATCGAAAATTCACGAGTATGCGTGAGCAATTATGAAATTATGTGAAAATAAAAATGCCTTGTAAAGAAAATCATGGAACCTCGTCGAAGGGAGTGAAAAACGTCTACGGTTTGTGTTTTTAGAAGTTCAGAGTATTAAAAAAAACGGTTACCTGCAATATAAGCTGAGACTTAGCAGCATTTATTTTTCTCAAGGTAATTTTTTTTTTTTTGGCAATTGAGCGATTTCGAAATTCGAAGTATCTCTTTCTACTGTTCGGCTCGATTTCCGGGAGGCAGACCTGCTTTTTGACCCATGATTGTTCGACAAGAAGTCAGATTACCAGGTGCTGACTGGAGTGTAATGATCAGGGGGGAATATCGACATCTATTCGCTCACTCAACTCGTTGGAGGGTCAGTCACGTCACGTGCTGGGTCACGCGATTTTTCATTCATTCGGGTTTTTCTCGAGCACTCTGATCTCGAAATCTTTATCCCCCCATTGCAACACAGTGAAATTCCAATGCCGTGAAACCTGCTGATCGATCGATGAATCGAATGTGATATTTTCCGAGGAAACTTTTCATTGAGTAATCTTAATCGACGGCAAAAATAGATCGTAAAACCTCCACCGACCGAATCTACGCGTCATTTTTCCTAAAAAAAATTAAGCTTAAATTCGGTCCTTCCATGGAAAAATAAAAGTTCCCTCTGGTTTCCACCTTCGCATTACAAAAACTAACTTGACAGTTTTGAAAGAAAATATTGGAACATTTTCATTGGCTTCAATATGTTCGGCGTCCGTGCAAAAGTAGCAAGTAATTTTAAGAGTCCACTTGATTGCTTGCGGCGTAAACGAGCATTGAATAGATAGGAACTCGAGAAACATATGAAGTATTGCTCAGAAAATAATTAAACTTTTTATTTTCACGCTGATATACGAGTATACTGTACAGTACATATATTTATATTTGGACGCACAACCCCCGCAAATTACGAAATTGGGGCTCTGAATGCTTTGAGGACTCGTTCGTAAGAAAATCGGTCATGGAAAAGTACCTTGATTTCGTAGCTGGGGTATTCCGCATCTTCCAGGCAGTACATCAGAGTACCATTCACCGAGCATGCGGGGGGTGCCTTCGGGTCGCAGTAACTTCCGTACTTGCCGTAGCTCGGCTGTGGCTGATGGTAACCATAGCTCGGAGGTGGTGCGTATGGTGATGGGTGCGAGGCCAAGGCACCAACGCAACCCAAGAGGACGAGACACTGAAACAGTGCAATTATAAGCTGTAAAATACCATAGGTCGCACTTTATCCCCACAAAAAAAAAAGAGGCAGCAGCACGAACTCGAGAATTTGGGGCACACAGACCGCGTCGCAGCTTCATCTATGCGACTTATACTCAAGATGATAAAATGCTTATAAAAATCTAAAACAGCTGTGAATTGGTTAATTTACCACCCCGAAGAATCGAAACATCACTTTCATGGGATTCAAGCCATTTTTGCCTGAAAATTTGTCCCATATTTAATAGGGAAGAGCGCAAATTCCGTGTGTACACCACCTCGTCTGCAAAAATTTTCTCTGTACAGTATAGGGAATATTTTCTTTTGGTCGCATAGTGTTGTTCGCATGTTATAGGAGTTCTCTACACGAAATTCGCGCTACAACGATTTTATTTGGTCCCGTGAATTTTGTTTAAGAGAGTCCACCTGTACATAGGCAGCGTCTTCTTAAAAAATAAAAGCATTCCTATTCTCTGCATTCATTTTTTTCTGCCTGAAATTCGCAATGTGCGAAAAAAAAATTATATGCTTTTCATGTAATTTGTGATACATATGATGCAAATTTGTTCGCTTCTTTGATTTAAAAAAAATGTCCGATTGAAAAGGAAGAGACCGTCGATGAAACATCTTAAGAAACTCTTCGAGAATTTCTGATCCCTTGGAATTGAGATTATTCCATATTCAAATTATATGTATCTACTATATAATTATCTGGGAATTGAAATTGAACAGTTATGGAGAGTCATGAAAGAGCTGTGTATATTCGCGTTCTTCAGCAATGACTGCAAAAAGCAGCAAATGATCGGTGAATGTAAATGAATATTGTGGACGAAATCCTTTGGAATTTTTTTCTCTTTTACTTCGCAACGGTGAAGTAAGTTTTTGAATTTTCTAGAACTCTGCACAATAAAAAATGAATGCAAGAATAGTTTCAAGTTTTAGAGGTAGAAATATTTTTGTGGCTCCGAAAACGGAGTGAAATACTCACGAGTGAAATATGCATGGCGACTTTTGTGAAGAGTTCTTTACACTTGTTTATTAGGAGGCTTTTTGGGAACTGACGCTGAGAAGATCTGAGGCGGTATTTATACCCGCAGTGGCGCCCTTGCCGCCGCCAGGGCGGCTCACCCCGCGAGAACGCCGCCTTCATTTTGTTTTTTATGGTTCCTTTTGCATCTTGTCGTGGATGCAAATACCCGTGTTTTTTCTTTTTTTTCAGACTGTTATTGAGCATTTCTGTTGGAATTAATGATGACACTTTCGTTGGGCGCTGTGCCTTTCCTTGGCTGAATACGCAATCGCGAGCACGTTTCCGTCACTGGATTGAAACCGTGGCAAGAATGCTTCTGCCCTCATTTGAGCACCAATTTCACAATTCCTGCATATTTTTTTTACGAATTGGGCACGGGGAAAAATCTTGGCAATTACGATCGCCAGGTTTCGTTTCCGGCCGACTTTCCCTCTAAGCCTCGAGTTCGAAAATGATGCGACACTCGACTGGGTTTTTCACGTGTGCTTTGTGAAGCCAAAATGGAATCAAATTTCCCCCGTGTGCATGAGAATCTAGCATTTCTCCTCAACGGGTTTCCTGGGATTATTTGCGATCGAAAAGGTTTTCATTGCAATTTCGCAATACATTCGCCCAAGTTATCTTTTCTACGATTTGACAAGTAAATCGTTGCACAGTGCTGGTTATAGAAGCCTGGTTGGAAAATTATTTTTCATTTCGCAAATATCGGCGTGAGGTGAGAAGTTTTTGCAACTCCAGTTCATGTAGATCTGACCGAAGTACCGCTTTTTTATTTATTTTTTAGTTTACCAGTTTCGGATGACGGAGGACAAACGAGAGCCAATCAATTGTTGGGTCATCTCAAGGGTTTTCTTTCCAACTTCGATTAGTGGCTGATGAAAATGAGTTTGAACTTTCGGGTCGATGACGTAATCCGAGGGTGATGTATGATTCATCAAAAAACTCTGCCCGGTGAGCTTGTGTGTATTCTGAAACCCGGTCTCACTCGTTCTCGGATTTTTCCGCATAAGCATGACTACCCCTTTCCCCTCGCATCTATTTTGAATTCAAATCAATATTTGACAGGACCAAAAAATTAATTCGAAGAACTGATGAAGGATTTGCGTGGCATCTTCTGAAAAAAAAAACTGACAGCAAAGTTGGAGGTCAAGAAAAATGAACTTCCTTCATCATGTCACACACTACCATAATCTTAAACATAGCAAATGTAAACTGACTAAGAAAGAAATGATATCTTCAAAAGTGAAAAAAGGTGGTACCTTGCAATTTGACCTTTCGAAATTCAACTGTCCAAAAATTTGAAAGTCGAATTTGCAGGGTGGTTGACTTGAAAATTCGACCCTTGCTCCACAATTCAACCAGCTTTTTTCATTTTTTGCGTTTTTGTATGCATATTTTTAATTTGATGGAATGCCTCACAATTTGACTGATTTGCTATTTGACCCTAGTTTGGCAGCGGATTAGGGTCAAATTGTGAGGTACCACCTGTACAATGGGCCCCTGCATACTGAAACTAATCTGTTCCAGGGTGCATTTCAATTTTATTGAATTTTTGTACAGTATTTCAAGATGCAATTTCCCTGGATGAAGTTTCGTCCCCACAAGATGTCCCTACATGGTCTAGGAAAATCTCCCCAGTCCCAACCTGGATACGTGATGACACCAAATGGGTGGTGGAAATCCTGCTGCTGTGGCCGTAGTTTGCTGCGTTGTGGAAAACTTGTGGCAATACAGGATTTGAGGCAAAGGAAAATGACATCTTCAAAAGAAATTCTCATTTTGAAATTAATTTGAATTTCAAAATGAGGAGCTGGAAGGGAACACTACACTTGAAGCATTCACCTGCTGCCAGGTGGAGGAGCTAGGAATCTGCTGTGGGACGTCTGACGTGTTCGTGTGTCTGTATATTGTGATGCTCTGAAAGGCATTTGATTGGTTCTCCATAGCTTTGCATCCCTGCATCTGCATCCAAGCTTTTCCTGATCTCTGCCTGATACTAAACTATAGCATTCGAAGGGTCTCCTCTACGGAGGACTTGGTCAAATATATACTGGCTGAAATGCATGGTGGTTTCAATTAGTAACCCTTTGTTGTTTCCCGGCCCAACAGATGGTTTATTATATAAGTGATTTAATTTGATCCAGGCACTCGTTTAAGACTGATAAGCATTAAAAATGGGGGGGAGGGGTGGCTTCATATTAGTCTTCAGCCTGACATTCTGAATTTCAAATTGAGTTGCATTAAATTTCAGTAATCAATGCACAATTTTGCTCTGAACTTTTAAAATTTCGAACATTTCATTGGCAAGAAGAGGTAAAGCTATGCCCTTCTTTTGTCATTTCCATTGATTTTCAAAATTTATGCAGTTTCAACCAAAAAATTGTTAATCATCCAAGCGTTTTTTGGCCGACAGAATGCGTTATTTGAGACATCTTCATTTCATCTCGCAAGTCATTTTCCAAAAATGTTTTGTGGTGTGGTTTTTTTTTTGTCACGCGCGTTTTTTTTTTATGCGGGGCCGGGGACTCACTGTACAACACTCGGATATTTCTAATGGAATTTATTTTCCTTTTATGTTATTGTGAAGCTGAACCAAGGGATGCAACTTTTGAAAAATGTCTATATTTCAAGCCAAACTACTTCATGCACAAAATATCTCTCACGTAGGAACTGGCGTTTTGTAATGTATCATACAACGAATCAACGTAGCCTGGAAAAATGCACGAAGTTGTAACTTTCTCTTCGGAGTAAATTTCAGTATTTTATCGTTGCGCTACTTTCGATTTTGTACATTTTACAACGGCAGTTTTATTTTTCCTTTTATATGTTTGGAACACATAGATTTCCCGTTTATATTTGCACATGAGCAAAAGCTTATCATGGAAGTACGAAACACTCGTTCGACGTTGTTGGGAAACCACACCTACGCGCCGAATAATGTTGAAATTAAAAATTATAAAGAACTATGAAAACCTAGCATCAGATAAGAGAACCAACCCTCAAATGAAAGGAACTCTTCAAGGAAAACTACACTACTCAAGAACAATGAAAACAGGATCCGATTTCCGAGCATCGTCCTTCACCGAAGAAGAAGCCACATTCGCGATCAAACTTTTGCTGTGTGTAGTGTACGAAAATTTCAAGTTTCTCGAAGAGTTCTTCTGAGTTGTTGAAAGTGTTGCTGAAGTTATCTACTCAAAATTTGTGTGTTGGGACAAAAATTGAAATACAATTCAAATAGTTTAAATAGGATTCCCGGCCTGGTCCCAGGCTGATTCTGCCTAATACATTTCTTAAATTTCGAACTTCACTTTAATATTCGTTTTTAGATCCACTAGCAATTTCTTTCACATTTATGTTGAGGTAAGTTATTCTTCAACAGGCGTAAGAGAAACTTTAGCATCGTATTTGCAACACTTTTTTGTCTCGGAAGAAATGTACGTATCCACTGGTTTCCCGTAGAATATTTGAATACGCATGACACAAGGGGGTAATAATACACGTTTCCGAACCCTTCGCTGTTGATTTGCGGTCGACTAGGGTCAACAGAACAGCAGGTCATCAATCTTTTTCCAAGCAAAGCGTCGAGTCCGGTGGGAAAGTCTGAAGCACGGTGGACCTCAATTGCCACGATTGCAAGGGCATTGGATTTTCGCTTCCTCGGAACACATCTGTCATCACCCGAAGAACCCGAGACCCGCTCAAGAAGAATTTTCGAAATACAGTTTGAGAAAAGAAAAAACATTCGTTTGGTCCATTAAGAATAAGTTCAGCTTCGCAGTGACATGCATTTTGAAGCTCTGTGGTCCAATATTCTTCACGCTTGACACCGAGAAATGAATTTAAACCGCTTGCAACTTGATTTTTAAAGCATGCCACGCGTGGTCTTCTCCGGAAAAACAAATGTGATGTAATTTTCTCTGCTCTCGACATTGCAAACATTTTCAAGTGCCATTTGGGTTGAAAAATTCCGAAGAAACGGCTGCTGCAATTTTCGCGTCCATGATTGATTACTCCAACCTGTGCTAATTTGGGACTGTGCTCAATGCAAATGTTTTTCAGTGTTTTTTTTTTTNGTGTATAGTTTGAAATGCTTTAAAGGCAAAATTTATTGAAATTTCACGTGATGCTCAAGTTTGAAATTTGGAATTTCCTTATGATGAAAAATTAAAACATTTAATGCGTGACATTTTAATTCAACATCAATGTTCAATGCAGGAATCGAATGCAAAAAAATCTGGTGCATTGGGATGCTCATACAATTTTTTGAATGTCCAATTTATTCTAGAACGGAATCTTAGTCTTAAAATTAGGTAGGCATTTTAGGAAAGAAGTGGAAGTTTTCGAAAGCCCCAAAATAAAATATCCGAGGACATGCACAAAAGCTCCCGTTCAAGCGCACAGCTTCTATAGTGGAATTTGATTAAAGCGCCAGCGGAATGAATGCCGGATGATGAATGATAATGAAATTGAATTAGGACCAACGGCGAAGCGAATTAATCAAATGGCATTCTTCTTTTTTTTTCAGAAGAGTGGACATCAGTTTTACGAGACCTTCGAGAGAGTCCATTGAATTTTGTATACCATGTTTAACGCGCGCGTTGCGCAACGCGTTGATGTGTTCTTGTCCATTTTGGTCTCCCCTATAGAAGTCCGTCTGTCTGGTTTCCTGAAAAATGTTGCGGCTCCTCAGAAATTTGAAATGTATTCCTATAAAACCACACATTTCATCCCGTTTGACAATGACGTCTCTCGGCAGAATAACGCGTGTCCTTGACAACATCCAAAAATGGTATGCTTCATCTCATTCTAGATCCGGATAAGCAGCTGGGAAAGCGATAGAAAATTCGATTTTACATATGCTCTATTCTTCGCTGTTAATTTTACTTGAACAGCTCTTGAACAACGGACATCCAATGTTTCTGTGAAGTTTTCTGAAGTTTTCAATGCTCGAATTTTTTTTTTCCGCTGGTAAGCTTCGGAATAATATTCAAGCGGGATGAGGGTGGCATTTTTTTTTAATTATCATCAATCGTTGGAAAGAACTCTTGATAAAACATAACTGTAATTTTTGCGACTATAGATTTCTCTCTTTCCATGAATTTTTTTTTAAACATGAG